TGCAATGTGTGAGCGGGTTTATAATTTGGACTAGGCCTGAAATGATGTCCTGTGTCGTCGCCGCCTCACAGTGGCCGTGACATGGCCGAGACATTCAAATGTGTGAGCCGAGACTGAAATCAAACATAAAAAAAGACATTTTGACACAAAAAGAAGACATTTTGGATACGCGACCCCCTCAAAAGGAGGAGCTCAGCGGCCAGTCGCTTCCCACGTCCAACTTGTACTGAACCTTGAAAGTCCACACCCAGTCCTGTTTAGGCAAGGCTTTTGGGGTTTTAGGGTTTAGGGTTTAGGGTTTTAGGGGTCCTGTTTAGGTAAGGCTTTTGGGGGTTTTAGGGTTTAGGGTTTGGGGTTTTAGGGTTTAGGGGTTTAGGGGTTCACCACACCCAGTCCTGTTTAGGCAAGGTTTAAGGGTTTTAGGGTTTAGGGTTTAGGGTTTAGGGGTTTGGGGTTGAGGGTTCAGGGTAATATTTAGGACCTTCATCATCAGAATGGGGTTGTAGGTCTTATCGCAGAAAAATGAAAAGAGGACCCCTAAGGAAGAGTATGGGTAATTAATATAGGGGCCTTAATGATTCGAATAGGGTGTTAGGCACATTATACTATAAATGTAGTATAGCAAGGAAACTCCAAAAAAGTATTGGTAATTAAGTATAGGGGGCTGTACAATTAGAAAAGGGTTTTGGGTATATTATACGATGATTATAATGAGGAACCTCCAAAATAATATTGGTAATTGCCCAGTCTTGTCTGGATATAGGTTGAGGCGATGGGGCATCCGGTCTCCTGCACACCATTGTGAGCGTACTTGCCCTGGATCACGACGCCGCCGACGGGCTTGACCACCTGATATGGGGAGAACGGAAACTTTTGGCGGATGTTGTCAGCGCACCAGGATCTAATCAGAAGCAGTACTTTGTGTTACTGAATATTTCCACCGCTACATAGACAATTGCCGCAGACAGGTTGGGCATCGATGCTGCATAGCGCAGCAAATCTGGAGAATCTAATATCCCGCAGATATTCCTGGAAGAATCTTAACTGAAAGGGTTTTCGGAGTCTTTGTGAAGCCAGCAGACCCTCAACACCCCATAGTTGCACAGCTTTCATGGCGATCACATGGCAGTTTGTTGCAGCCAAAAAATGTAAAGGACCTGCACAGAAAAGAAAAAGGCCCCGAATCCAACTCTTCCGGGGCCGGCATGGTTTTCGTTGTTGCTCATTTTTGCTCCTGCCCCCTGTCACTGGGCCCAAAAGATTAACATAGGGGGCGTTAATAATTAGAATAGGGTTTTGGGGTACATTATACGATAATTAAAAAAAAGGAACCCTCAAAATAGTATAGGTAATTATTCAGGCCCCTACATTAATCATTTGCGGTCCGCGATATGACCTCAACAAAAGGAAGTAGAGTCTCAGTTTTTGCTGTTGCACCGCCGGGCTTTTCTAGGCCTGACGCCCTACGCGCCATTTTTGTTAGCCCGCCGGGTGCCCGAAGCCGAAAGTGAGTGAGTGACTGAGCCTCCCTAAACGCTAAACCCTAAACCAACTCACTTATATACTCCCTCACGGCCGGCTTGCCAGCCCTTGGGCCCAACACAAAATGGCTGGCCTACTGCAAAACACTAATCCCAGTAGAGCCCTACCGAAACCCTAGGCTGCAAACCAAAAAAACCCTAGAAACCCTAAACCCCACAGCAGAAGCCGGAAAGTTGGAACATCATGATCCTGAAGCAACCCTAAACCCTAAACCCCTAAAGGTAATAAACGGCAAAAAATCCGAGCTCTGATCTTCTCAACTGCATTTTCCAGCTTTCCGGGCTTCGCTCCACCCCAAATCGCAACAGACCCTCAACACGAAAAAACACTTAAACCCTAAACCCCCAAAACCCCAAAGGCTAAATAAACCCTAGAGCTCCAAACCCTAAAGCCCCTAAAACCCCTAAACCCCCCTAAGCCCTAAAACCCCTAGAACCCTATTATAGAGCCCTGCTTGTCTTTGTGTCAAAGCCGATCCTTCAGGTCAAACTGCATCCACTCATCTAGCGACTCAGTCCTGAGTGAAGGAAGTTTAGGGGCTTAGGGTTTAGGGTTTAGGGCTGCTTCTGTTTGACGGTTTAGGGGTTTAGGGTTTAGGGTTTAGGATTTAGGGTTTCGGGTCTTCGGCCAAGAAGTTATAGTGAACCCGAGAAAGTTGGAACATGGATTTAGGATGATTAGTGCTGGGATTCCCTATACTGTACCTTTTGGGCATTAGGATAATGACGTTCCAACTTTCTGGCTTCTACCGTAAGGGCTGCTGTTGTTGACGGTCTTCTGCTGAATCCTAGAGCTCCTGAAGCCTTACTGGGGCTTCGGGCGCTGGCTGCAGAAAGAATCTGAAGCCCAACAGACCCCCGGCCCCTTAACCTGGATTTAGGGCGTGGGCTTTGGGCTTAGGGCTTGGGGTTTTGGGGCTTGACACCTAGACCCTGACTGAAGCGAAAGACAAGAAGAAGACCTCCAGGTGCTTTTGCCCGAGCAGCCCATGGAAGTGTGTGTTTGCTGGGCAAAAGCCGCCGACGGTGTTGTCCAGCATGGATGTGTCCGAGAGCCATGCACCCACGCTGCTGTAGGTCCTTTCGGGCGTTTCAGGGGCTTCAGGTGCAGGGTTCTGGGTTTGGGGGCTTCTTAGGGGTTTATGAGGGCCTCAGTGCCTTGGGATTTCCGAACCCTAAACCCTAAACCCTAAACCCTAAACCCTAAACCCTAAACCCTAAACCCTAAACCCTAGGTTTCCGGCTTCTTTGGTGCTGGGCATTGCTTAGGGCTTCATGCGGTGGGTCTCTCGGGGCGTCGTTTGCTTTTTGGAGGGGGCCTTCTGGGGCTCTTTAAGGGTTTAGGGTTTAGG